TGCCGAAATGGAGAGCACCTTCTTTTCTCAATGCACACTACATACTGTCAATCACTATGGCTGCGCAATCTTTTCTATTTTGAAGCTGATACATTTATCTCTCATAAAATATCAAACATATTAATATTTTCTAGCAAGAAAAGTTTCGAATTTAATGGAACATTTACATGACCTATAAAAGTATAGTATATTTCAACTTCAATTTTCATAAATTTGCCAAAATTCACCAATTCTAATTTTAACAGATATAAATTAATAAATGATTAAGGATTATAATAAACTAAGTCATTTTAGGGTTAACGAGGGTTAACTATTCGAAAAATGAATCCAAAATCTGAGTATTTTTCAGTTTTACGCTGACTTAGCTTTATAGTCGAACCAGTCAATCTTCAGACAAAATTATAATGAACACAGAAGTAATTTTAACATAAATATTTTACGGAATCCGTTCCTGAAATATACAAATAACATAACAAAAGCCCGAAAAAATCTAATCAGGGGAAAATTGTTCATTATAAAGATATTTAATGGGTTAAAATCAAACGTTTTATTGCACAACTGCTCTGCTGAAGCGTATAAATGCATATCGTTGCCAAGTTGTTGCTAACGAAAAAAATGTGAATTATAGCAAAGATACTAGAAGTATTTCTAGTATCTTTGATTATAGGGTAATACGCCCGCGCGCGATGCAAAAGCGGGGAACACATAGGTTTGTCGCGTCAAAGGGATCTGTTGCCGAGTGATCTCCTTCTCAATAATACCTCCATGGTAAGCTCAAAGACACTAGAAATACAAGATAGAGCACTTGCATAGCAAAAATGAGGCGGAAATTGGACCCGACGTAGGCGGCGACCTTCTCTTCTATAATGCAAGTATGATACAAAAAAAAAAATAAAAAAAAAAAAAAAAAAAAAAAAAAACCGACTAAAGTAACTTACTATATACAAAACAGACATGGAGAATTTCTGTAAATTTGATGTTATACGAAGTAGGCCTATTCGTTGTTAAGTTTGAATTGATACTGATGTATTTTTATTTCAGTGCAACTCCAAGTATAGCCTTTAAGGCTTTTAGGTAACGCTTTTTAGTTGAAAATACAATTGCATACAGTAATTGGTTGTAGGGTCACCATTTTAGTTTATTTTATGTTAGTCGAGAGTGCTGACCTATAGTATTATTGTACAGGGTACAGTATTAATCTAAACTTTACTTTTCGTCACTGTTAATGACAATATCATGCAATGCAGTATAAGCGTTTTCCTTTCTGCAGTGTGTCTGTTTATATAAAACCAGATCTTCATTGAGGCACGATAAAGGAAGAGACATATATAAGCAGTTATCACAAGCTTGTTTGTATCTTTGTTTTGGTTGCGGTGGGAAAACAGCAGCAATATGTTCAGCGAGGGAGATTGCGCATGCGCAGTAATGCCTTCAGACACTAATGAATATTTCATAAATTTTTGCTCAACTTACCTACGCAAAAAAATAATCGGCCACGTACGGCTGGATCCAAAAAAAAAAATCTCTGACAAAGTTACATAAATGTGAACACATTATAAGCTCCTTTTGCGTAGGTAGACATTGTTGCCATTATTAATAAGATACAAACAAGTAGGCATAAATAAATCAAAACAATAACATAATTACCAACCTGAGAGATTTAAAATGCGTGAGTGCCAGTTGGCTAGGGTGTCCAAGCGGCAGGGAAACCACCCCCAACCCCGCCGCTCCGACGATCTGATCATTTTTTTAAACGATTTCAGGGAGTGTTTGTTGATAATACAGGTATATAAGCAAACATATTATTAATAAAGCCTATTTGAGTTTCAATGTAGCCTATGTTTAATTTAAGCACCCGAACCATGTAGACCTACACAAACATTTCGTTACTGATCAATTTTTAGTAACTCGTTAGTGAAATAAGTAGGGCCTTCAAGGAAATACTGTACTCTCTCATTACTCAAGTTACTGCATCACCGTTTTTATAGTTTTAATACAACCAATTTCTTCTTTTAAATACATTTTCCCCTGATAAGATTGTATAATACAAACTCCAAGTATCGAAATGCACGCCATCGTGTCGGGATTTAATATTTTGACATTAATTATGTCATCATCAGGAATTTTAAATGATTAAATAAGAAAAAAAAATTAAAAAAAATTATTGGCTAGTATATGGGGATTATTATAATAATCTTATCTGATATTAATCAGTGAACCTTTCGGTTTTTTTCCCCTTAATTTGTGATAAATCGTTATCACGCATAGACTTGTGTTAAATGCATGACAAATTTATAAGGATCACGCATGTGTTTCTGCAAAGTGCGTGTTTCATCCAAAATCACTTTGAAATGCGGGACCGTCCCGCACGATGGAAGACGGTTGGTAACACCGCAGAATCTTGTGACCTGACTCCGATTAGTGATAAAGTTTTTCTTTATTAGTGGTCTGGACAAAGTATAGAAAACTTTCATATAAAAAGAGAAGGAGACCGCGTACGTTTTGACCAATGTTCGCTATGCGAGTGCTCTATCTTGTGTTTCTAGTATCTTTGGTTCTATACTTTTTATAATAATTCAGTGTGTGGGAGCGGTTGTTGCAGTGGTTGCGTTTCGTGTTCTCAAACCGTCGGGTCGGGGATTGAACTCTTCTGTTAATTTCGCTTGCGCACTTTATACCTAAGGCCTACCATACTTCATTGTTCTCTCTACCCAGAAGGGGTACCTGGTTGTAATATAGTGGGGAGGTTTCGAATCAAACTGCCGAGCAGTTAAGGCAAGGGCACCGCAACCATAACCAACAATACCGGCACGGGTTCCCGGCCGACTAGTTCTAGGTTCTTGTGGTGGAACAAGTCTTCTTGGATAAGAATTATAAATCGTAAGCCCATACACAAATGCTCTTGTACACTTTAAAGAACCCAGGACATCGTTCGAGACTAGACGAGTAGGGGGTTAACCCGGTGTAGGCCTACTGGTCCACTCGGCCCCTGTCGTGGACAGATGAAAGTGCTCGGCTTTACCGGCTGCAGAGGATATATGACCGTCAGAGGAGAAGGTTATTGAAAAGTGCAACATCTGTCCATTGCGCCACGAGCAACGACTGTTTGAATGGCGCCATATAAATAGACCAATTTGATTTTTGTATTTGATTTGTTAAAAAAATGGAGGTATGACAGGGAACTGTCCACCGTACCACACAATGCCGAGGCTTAGTATAATGGGTGACAGCTCATTTCCGTACGTTCAGTAACGAAGCAATGAATACAGGACTAATTACCTTCGTATGATATAATAACAAACGTACATAATATGCAATAAAATAAATGCTTAATATAATACTATTATATTATGCAAGTTCAGAGGACACCATAGAAAATAGAAGTCGAGTCGACACATAATTTTATTTAAAAACAAAACTGCCTACATACCCACACGCTGAAGGAAATTGTTATGCTTTCGAAGCAAAACGTATGTCTGCCAATAATTTCGAAATTATAATTTTAGTACAAATTATTTTATTTCAAGTTTATTCGCTTGTAATAGACAAAGGGCCTCTATTTATATTTATAGTTAATTTTTAACGGCAAGCATCATCTATGTAACTATAACGTGAAATGTTTCCGTACTGTTGTAAAATATTTGTTTTTTGTTTATATTCTGTCAAAATATAGAACACGGTATCGATATTCTATTTCATATCGAAATGTTTACAGTACAAGATACGAATGTTGTCAAGGTTATGCCGCGCCTCCTGGCAGTGATGAATGTACCGAAAGTAAGGTTTATGAGGATTGTTTACCGACTTGACGAATGCTTTAGTATTTTACTCTAGGTACACTATTTGTGAATATACACTATATGTGAACAAACAATAATTACTAAATGTCTCCTTACTTTTAATTTGTTTATCATTGCAGCTATATGTTTACCCGAATGTTTCCAAGGAAACTGCGAAGGCCCTAACGTGTGTACATGTAACGAAGGGTACCATGGACCAAGATGCGAATACAGTATTTTAATTATTTATTTAAATATTATACAGTAATATTATTAATATTATTATTATTATTATTATTATAAGCGCATAGAGGTCTCTGCAATATGCGGTATATAAGTCGACAATTATCATTATTATTATTATTATTATTATTATTATTATTATTATTATTATTATTATCATTATTGTTATAGTTACTATTATTGTTATTATTATAGTTATTATTATTGTTATTATTATTATTATTATTATTTACTTATTGTTGTTACAGTTATTATTATTATTGTTATTATTATTATTATTGTTATTATTATTATTATTATTATTATTATTTACTTATAACAGTTATTATTTATAATTGAATACTTAATGTAATATAAATTCGATCTTATAGGCCAATGTGCTTTATTTATAGCTTGCGATTCAGAAATTTATAACTGCGAAATCATAAATTGTACCTCGTCTATTGAGTGCAAAGAATGTCTTTACCACATCAATGACGAAATAAAAGCGTACGACTTAGTTAATGGTCGGTGCAACCGTAAGTAACTTGAGTTTATTTTAATTTAATCGCTCTTTAATATTTCCATAGGTTTTATAAGAGCTCTTTAAACGAATTAAATTAACAATACTTAGTATTTTACCTAAAATTAATTTTCATTAATGTGCGGTAACTCAGTCTGCATTTAGTATTGATTTAACAGTTTCTTACCCATCGCTTCATAGCAATTTGTTCTTGGCGTAATGATAGTAGGTCTTGCTATCCTGGTAGATGTGCCTCTTCGAGCAACGTTTGTATTTGTGATGCAGACTTTGATTCGGATGACAATTGCATGAAAAGTAAGTTAATGTTTATATCAATATTATTTGATTTAAAATCAGCATGGATTTGTATGGAGCCAATTCTCTACGACAGAATGCAATGTTCGGTTGCACTATCACATTGGTATTACTCAAGTTGCACTTACTAAGGTGAATTAAAGATTAAAAATGTCAAAAAGACTAAGAGAAAAAATGAAAACATAGTAAATATTTACATATGTGTCTCAAAAACTTAGCGGGAGAAGTAGAAGAGATACGATTTTAGCTTTATTAAAGATAACAGAAAAATGTTTCGATCTCAAGATGTAGCATGGGCTTTCGTGGCCCCCATCTTCTATTTATAATCTTACGGGAAAAATATCAACTATAAATCAAACTGAATTCTAGAAAATAACAAATAAATTGGGGATAAAAACAAATTATATTCAACTAAATGTTGACTCTGACAGTACCATTTTCAGGCTATCTAAAAGTGCCATACACATAAGAAAATTCGTACCCCAGCCCCAACTATGTAGGGGGGGGGGGAGGTATTTTCTATTCCATCATATACTCTAATTCCAGAATCCACCACTGTTTAATGTTGTAGTTTTGTGGTGAATCATCTTCTATTTATAATCTTATTGCTGGAATATGTCCAGAGGTGTACGCTAAATTATAAAAATTGGCTAGGAATCATTGAATGGAGGACATTCAGTGTTGAGGCGGCACATGTGAAAGTATATGTTAATAGGTTTATTCTTTTCCTGCTCAAAAAGGTGATTTTTGATGATCTAAGAAGGCGAAGAGTAGGTTGAATAGAGATACGAAATGTATTTAGGGACAAGACCACTGCGCTAGACTTTATGAACAATATCTAGAAAGAAATAGTTATATTATTATACTGTTCAACGAATTTTGTAAAGACTTGTAGACGTACAATAGATGTAAATGACCTTAAATTAGATTAAAATAATAGAAAAAGCTGAAACCGTCAACATGCAAGTATTTGTTGGTATTATTTTGGTCAAATGTACAGAAATTTACATCTAGAATATTTTGTGTTCTCATAATCCATCATTTTATTAATTGATAGTAAGTGTGCCGCCAACAGTAAAAAGCTGCTCAATATTGTTACAACATGACAATGGATTCAATGGAATCTCTACAAGCAATATTTCATGCCAACAATCATATATGTCACCAATCTATTCATCCATAAAAGGAAACAGCTTTCTTGTGAATTGGCAAACACAGTTCTCGGCGACTGAGTATCCATTTCCTTATTACGTCAACGATTCCAATGTGGGCGTGATTTCAGCAGTTGTCAATTGGTATATTGACAGAGGTGAATACTGAGATTTTTTAACATTTAGTTATGGTATATACCTGTCTTTATTTTTCATCCATCAGAAGGATTTTTTATCTTTATAGTTTCATAATTTCTAGTCCAACATAAGCCTGACCACTGTATGCCGGGATTATGTTTATTGATTACTCAATTTAGTTCTGTAAGCTTGTGTATCGCCATTAGTTAATATTTTCGATTTCGTAGTTCCAAGTGCGCATGCGCACTTATGTAGATATTTAGTATAAAATTATAAACAAATACCATAATTAAGGTGTATCTTCTGAATCAGGGATTCCCTGGTCTGAAGTAAATAATTTAAATTGTTGTATTATGATTTGGTTACTAAAATACTGTGAGGAAGGTTAACAATTACCTCTTGATAGAGAAATGGACTATAAATGCTTTAAACGTGTTTTCATTGCACGAGTAATACTCTATCCTTAAAAAATGATGAATCCACATTTTACCTGTTAAAAACGAACGGCAATTCACAATAGGCCTAAAAGTAGATTTATAATTTTCTCTAATTATAGTGGTTTTGGAATAAATATGTTATAAAATAACATTAAAGAATCCAAATGCATTTTCTATTGGAAGACGTATTGAATACACAATAGCCCTTAAATAATCAATCAGAATCAATTGGTATTATTTGTTGTTTCTTTATAGTAATTTCTTAAACCACAAACTGTTGTAGTGAAATAATTATGTCTGATAGGTGGCAATATAATAGATTCTGGAGAAATTGATTGTAGTTTGAACCACAATGAAGACGACCCGAATAAGGGCATACATGTTTGTACACGATATGAAAAATTAAAGGACAATCTTCAAAACAACGACAAGTAAGATTCAACGATTGTATTACAAGAATTCTTTTAACCGTCGCTAAAATAGGGAAAATTCGACAGAGTATTATTTTTCTAAATTAGTTCAAGATATTCATAAAACTTTATACAAAAAATGTAATTCTTTTTTTCCAGATTTCAAATAATAGTAGATGCATTGTTATTTTTATTATTATTTTTTATTATTTCTGTTATCTAGCTAATAAAAACTTATTCATTATACGTGATTTGGCAACACATTTGTAATGCAGATCTAGTTTGGTTGTGAAGTTTGATTATATCTGAAATTTATTTATCATAAGCTCTCTACCAATGTACTTAAATGTCATTTTCAGTTTGACAATTACATCTTCATCAACGAACGGAGGATTTCTCAAACTAAACAACTATGATTATTCAGTGGTCGGGAGAGTCGACAATCCCGTGTACTATGAGGGCAAAACTGTAACGAGGAGTTTGACCATAACTGTCGACATCGATGCACCAACACATTGCTCTCTTTTTGTCCCACGTGATACGACTTGCATTGGATTTGCACTTGACATCGGTGATCCATACACTACATCAGTGAGAATTAAATTATAAACATATTTATATGTGACATTAATTATTTAAAATCAAATTTATTGTTATATTCAAATGTAGTCCTGGGTCGGTGTCTGGTATTTTCTACCAATCAACCTCATAATAAGAGTTGACGAAGTGGTTTGGTGGTGCTTTCTTATTTGTGTGCATGGTATGGTAAAACTAAACAATGTGTTGAATTTCGCATGGCTCGTATCTAATACAGGCCTATGTATAGCCATCCTTTAGAGTCGTTGGTTATTTAATCAATATCAACAAAACAATAAACATAAATGAGAGTCAATATAAGTGAACGTACCATGTTGTACACCAACGAAACGCACGAAACTGGATCAATAGTTTACGCCTAGTTTTCTCTGACAGATAACTATTTATTATAATAATTTACAGAGTCATCTGAAGGTTAAGTGGTCAACATGGGTGGACCATATTTCAGGATTGACAGCAACGTCTTATGACTGCAGAATTTGCAAAATGGTAGCAAATAATGGCGTCCTTACGTTTGATAACACTTGTGTCGTCCTTACTTATTCGAAAAGGGGAAATTATTATGAGGCAGAATTTGAGCTAAACTCTCCAGGTAGACCTTTTTTGTCATGAATAATTAAAATGTATTTTGGCAGGGTGTTTCTTACTGAATAAATTTAATTTAGTTAATTACGATTATCTCATATAAAGGTTTGATAGACGAAAGACTATGCTTATTTTTTGGCCTCGGTTACATTGCTATCGTGTAATTTTAGAATTGTCGGTAGAGTGCCACCAGGAAGTGAAAGTGAAAATAAATTAAATGATAATTTATATAGATAGAGGTGTATTTCATATATAAAAATATATTATAAAATCTCGTTAGTTTCAAATTTAGCATATAACACTATTAGAACTACAGCTCCCTGGTGGCATTGTATTGCAGTCTTATGATCACAATAATATTGCCAAAACATTTTCAATTAAGAATTGTCTTTATAAAATAGGTGTATATTGTGCCGTGTTGTCGGTTAGTGACGTCGCCGGCAGCATTCGTCTTGCTAGACGCTGCCTTATTTTTGATAGCCAAAGTGAAATATCGATTGCTGATGACAAACCTATAGCATGGACATCTGTTGATAAGACTGTAAGGTTTGATGAATATTATAAAAAATAGATTACTATTATTATTACTACTTCTTTTATTAAGATGACGATAATTATGATTTTGTGATAGATATTGACATTAATAATTTCTTGTTGATAATTATGACGATGATAATTTTAGTGATGATATAGATGATGCTGATTGGACTAGCATGATTAGGCCAATAAATGGAGGAAATTATTTTGATGCTGGAGATGATAATGTTGATGGAGATAATTATGATGTGTTTATATTATATGAATCATTCTTTTTACTATTTTGAAAGTTTAAAGTGTCATGGCAGGGTCATTTTGTTAACCAACTACACATAGACCAAAGTATGTTGAACGCTATTGAAACTGACAATGACGTTATTAATGAAGCCTACGATTCGGACGCTTTACCAGCAGGGCGTGCTCTATCGTCCATTGGTAATCGACATGGAATTGTAAAGTTTGAAGTTGGAATCGCTAAAGATGGACTTCAGCCAAATTGGATGGATTCACCGAATGATTTGGTACCGTTGGGTTCACCGTTAAGTGAACCACCACCTACCACCACCATCATCATCACAATACTACTACGACCAACACTACTACTGCTACTCCTATTTCTACTACTATATTAATATATTAATATTAATATTCATTTCCTCATGGAATATTAATAATAATAGTACAAAAATAATACATTTGTGTAAAGTGCACACAGGTTATGTGATATAAGCATAGGTAATTGCTTTTAGTGCGATGATGGCTATTTTGAATATATATGTATATATATATATATATATGTATATATATATATATATATATAAATCACAGGGTACATTTTTTAACCAAATTATATATAATCAAATGTAGATATAAATGTTTAATTATAGTAAATAGACCAGCACCAAGAAACTCAAAAGTAAACTGGCTACCAAGATCTTTGTAACACTTCTAAATGTACTGAAGTTATGGAATTTTTTTTTTTCAGGAGGAAATGTTTGTTTACCAAAATAATAATGGGGAAGAAACGGTTGAATTTTGGATTCGAGCGACGGATGTTGTTAATAACACAAAAACAGATTTTGTATCAATTCACATTGATTCGACGTCACTGAGTATTGGACACATAGGTGGCATTGCTGGAGGTGGTGTTGTGTTTGTGATCCTGACTTTGATTCTTGTTGTATATTTGTTCAAATCAACAACTAAACGACAGAACGTAAGTTTATATTGTTTTACACATTTTTTACAAGTTAATATATTTTACTGGCGGTCGAGCCTACGATATTTCAAATCAATTATATACGCATATTTTATATATAGTACATAATATATATAATCATCGAAGAAAAGTAAATACAGTGCTCGGATAAAGGTTTAATGCCTCTCGCGAGGCCCACCATTGTGTAATACAATGTTCCTGACGGCTATTTGAATCTGTTCAACCATGAAGCCTTTGTAGTCTAATGGTTATGACACTTGCCTTGACAGAAGAAGAAGGCACAGGTTCGGATCCCGTCGGAGGCATTTAATTACACAATGTATTTATGTATAGGACAACATTCGTTAAAAGCTGCGCTACACGATGTATCATCATGTCCTTTGTTCGAGCACTGTATTTACATTTCTTTGATGATGAGTTATATATGATTTAACAGAGTTTAACGGCTATGTTGATTATTGTTTCAAAGAATGCATTTGGTTCCATAAAATATATTAGAAAATTGTCTGTTTTGTTGAACCAATTAGTTGCTTACCCTAGCAACAGTTTCAGCAACTGCTTCGGTCAGATTCTTCAGGCTATTGAACCCTTGATTGTATTGGGTTGTTCACGCTTCGGTGAGTGAGGTACGGTCTGCAAGATAATAAAATCAGCCAAAAGTCCAAAACCAAAAACAACGAAGGAACAACAACAGGCCATTCTAACATTAAATACAGACGCAAATATTGTCATACTCCCGGCAGACAAGGGAAGAGACAAAGTCATATGCTTAGCGATGAACGGAAAATTGAAAGACGACCCCAACAAAGCATACAAAAGGGCCTTAATAACGTTATCTAAATGAGAAAAAAATATCTCAAACAGTGAAAGACAGGTTTTATCCAACACGATCAGTCACCCCCAATGTTATATTGAAAGCATAAGATCCATAAGACAGGCTGTCCTATCCTGCCGATAGTAGACAATGTCAAAACTATCTTATCCAGGTTACTATCACTGATCGTGTTGGATAAAACCTGTCTTTCATTGTTTGAGATATTTTTTTCTCATTTAGATAACGTTATTAAGGCCCTTTTGTATGCTTTGGTGGGGTCGTCTTTCAATTTTCCGTTCCGTAGCTCGAGATTTATGTGGTTTAATGCCCTCTCGAGGAGAACAATTGTGTAATACAATTTACATGACGATTATTTGAATCTGTTCAGCCACGAAGTCTCTGTGTTCTAATGGTTATGACGCTCGCTTTGACAGCGAGAAGTCGCAATGTATTTATAGGACAACATTTGTTGATGAGGGCTGTGCTACACGATGTACCATCATGTCCTTTTTTCGAGTCCTATATTTACCTCTGATTTATATATAATTTAACAGTGTTAACGGCTGTCTTGATTTATATTATATCATATATTCATATATATATATAGCACCGAACTCTCCAGATACATATGGGAACTCAAAAAGAAAAATCAACCATTCACCATCTCAAGTATTATTATTTAAAAAAATATGAGAAATGCTTCTGAAAACCTTTCTGGAATGGTTCGTCAAGGCCAAGGAAGAAAGTATGATTTTTTTGGGGGACGTTCCGGAGTAGGGTATGCATGTGAGATGCCATGATATTTTACGTCCTATACCTAAATATCTTAAAAACTGATCAATGCACTGAATGAAACTTTCAAGGATGGCTTGTAAAAGAACAATGATTGAAGGCTCTCAATGGCTACCACACATAACAAAAATTGCTACAGTATTTTGTTATGACGTTTGCAATGTAAGCCACAGGACCTGTTTTCACATCCCAGTGGAGGTTAAAATTCTGTTTTCATTAATTTTTTTTCCAAAGGAAAAGATGCGTGAGTGGGTGGAGGTATACACTCTCGGAGTGTACTCTAGTATTATTATTATTATTATTATTATTATTATTATTATTATTATTATTATTATTATTATTATTATTATTATCATCATCATTATCATTATCATTATCATTATCATTGTCATTGTCACTGTTACTGTTACTGTTACTGTTGCTGTTGCTGTTACTGTTACTGTTACTGTTATTGTCATTGTTATTGTTATTGTTATTAATATTAATATTATTATTATTTTTTTAAAATTATTATTATTACTACCACTTTATAATTATTGTTTATTATTGCTATTGCAGCCTCAAGTGTTTGGAGATAACAATGGACATGAAAACCCAGTCTACACCATTGTAAGACATCGTTAAGCATCATGATTAATTTATTTTATGTTTTTAACAAATGTTTTCAACGTAGTACAAAATATTCAAATGATACGAAATGTGTTTGGTTGTTTAGGAGGTGGAACCTAATCAATATGCCACTCCAAATTACCCTCCACCTGAATATACACCCTATCTGCCAATGTCAGCAGCTGTCGTAAACTCAAAGAAGGGGCTAGTGGAAGGCGAGTATGAGGTACCATTTTCACAAAATGTATTCACGCAAGGTATGTTTACTTCCTCCGAGAAGGTTATGTGTTAATGAGTTTGCCTGTCTTACCTGTTTCTATGTTCGCAGGACTACGCGAAACTAATGAATGAAACATTATAAAATTAGTCGGGTCGTACTTACTGATCTCTGTAAAAGAGATGATTAAATATCGGGGTAGTACTATCCTTAAACAAGATTTTTAAAATTGTGTAAATCTTACCCCTTAAACATGCAAAATAAGAAAAAAATTGAATCGTCCATAAACGCCACGCATGTATTATTCAGTTACTTAGTTTCTATTTGATTAGCGTAATACAAATATACATTTTCCGAATTTTTTCAGAAATAATTTCTGTCTCAAACAAATGTATATTTATATTTTTTGTTATTGACACTAGAGTAGTTGGGTAATAGTCGAAATGTTTCATAGTAAAACGTTTGAATACCTTATTTTATGCTTTTTGAAAAGCCATTCATATGTTCATTAGTAAATAAATTATTATTAAATAAACATTAACATTTAATATCGATTTGTTATTACATTGTTAACGTGAATTGGAATTCAGAAAACAAACCAGCACCTATATAGTTCCTACAATGATGATATTATTTTATGAGAATTTATATAACTTTTTTTATAGAAAATATTACTGCAAATGAGATTCATCCGTACGAATTACGTAAAGATGGCGTAATATTTGAAGGAAACCTATCCCAGGTGTGTAGAGGAAGAGTTCCTAGTCTTGGTCTAACAAATGTTGCAATCAAGACTGTAAAAGGTAAGATGCTTTCCTTTCAATCCCATATTTCTTGGTTTTCCAATACCATTATTCTCGGTTTAAATCTTCTGAAACAGACACCAGGACTAGTCTGGGCATAAACTTCCACTAGGTCCACTTCAATCCTCATAATAAATCTTTGAAGTTGGTCTAAAAGCATAACTGGACTACTACCGTACGTGGCTGAACACAAATTAGTGAGCTTTCATTACTTTAACATTGGCATCTATAGCTAATGCGAGCAATGTAGCATTATTTATGTGATTCTTTTGATATTTTTCTTTTATTAATTTGAATTTATTGGATTGCTAATTGTGGCACAATGATTGAATACATTGGATTATGTTCAAAGAATATTCCAATTTTATTTACTTAGAGGATCATAATGTCAAGGAAAAGGAAAACATGTTGCACGAAATAAAGATGATCAGATTGTTGCCAAGGCATGAAAACATTATCCGATTACTTGGTTTCACAAGCATCAGAGGTATGTATAAATATTGAAAGATTCTTGTTAGTTGTTATGTAATGAATTATTATTATTACCTGAGACAATTATGGTTTTGTCAATTATTTTTTATTTATTATTATTATTATTATTATTATTATTATTATTATTATTATTATTGATATTATTATTATTATTATTGTTATTGTTGTTATTCTTATTATTATTATTATTATTATCATTATTATTATTATTATTATTATTGATGTTGTTGTTGTTGTTATTAGTTATAAAAACTAAATACATATAAATAAGAAAGTCTCGATCCTTGCTAACCCAGAAGAAGTGGAAAATAAACATGTGTCATAAGTAAATAACCGTACTATTGTTGCTAATATGTTATGTAGTTCAATTTCTGTTCATTTCTTTATATTGGGTTTTGTGTGTAGATCCGGTCGCCTTAGTATTGGAGTTTGCTCCGTATGCAAACCTCTCAAAATATCTACAATCTCTCGCCGAAGAATCGCCGTACGATAACCAAATTGAGGAAATGTCATCTTCTCGACTGTGTACGTTCGCGTGGCAAGTGTGTTCTGGAATGCAGCATATCCTATTATTATTATTATTATTATTATTATTATTATTATTATTATTATTATTATTATTATTATTATTGATATTATTATTATTGTTATTGTTGTTATTCTTATTATTATTATTATTATTATTATTATTATTATTATTATTATTATTATTATTATTATTATTATCATTATTATTATTATTATTATTATTGATGTTGTTGTTGTTATTAGTTATAAAAACTAAATACATATAAATAAGAAAGTCTCGATCCTTGGTAACCCAGAAGAAGTGGAAAATAAACATGTGTCATAAGTAAATAACCGTACTATTGTTGCTAATATGTTATGTAGTTCAATTTCTGTTCATTTCTTTATATTGGGTTTTGTGTGTAGATCCGGTCGCCTTAGTATTGGAGTTTGCTCCGTATGCAAACCTCTCAAAATATCTACAATCTCTCGCCGAAGAATCGCCGTACGATAACCAAATTGAGGAAATGTCATCTTCTCGACTGTGTACGTTCGCGTGGCAAGTGTGTTCTGGAATGCAGCATATCCAATATAACAAGGTGCTGTATGAAAAGCATATTGTTTGCAACATTGGTACACCTTGCAGATTCTTGATTATCATAAATATTATTATCAACATAATCGTCATTTTTATTAGTATAATTATCATCATTACTATAATCATCATTATCTTTATTGCTAAAACAGACCCTTCTGTGTAATACTAGTCGTTAATGATTAGCGCTATTATGTAGTTCCTTGCAAGATTGTTGTTTATCTATTTTAGATTGTATTTGCTTATATTACTTATTATTATTATTCATTGTAAAAGCTTATTATTATTATTATTATCATCATCATCGTTATTATTAGCTTATTATTGCTATCACCATTATTATTATACGTATATCATCGACGATATCATAAGAACTATGATTAATGCTAATACTTATAATATTTTATTTTCCTTTTAATCAAAATCGAAGTTAGAAGACATAATTTAACTTATTATAAATTTAAATGACAGTTAAAATACAATACTTATTAATTTGTTGCAGATCATCCACAGAGATCTAGGGGCCAGAAACATCTTGGTTAGTGACAACATGGTTTGCAAAATCACAGATTTTGGAAGAGCAGTTGAAGCAGACACCAATGGTACTTTCGTAGAGACAAAAAACGTAGGTCTAAAACCTATATTTACTTGTGCGTAATATATAAAATTATGTATAAATAATGATATATGTATAATTATATATATTGTTTAAAATACATATTATATATAAGTGTAGAGGTTAAATCTTATACACATCT